CTACAGCACGCTTGTGTTTGCCTGTGAAGGACTGTGCGCCGGCTCCGTTAAAGAAACGTGGTTCCCATCCACATGCTTCCCGGTCTTATTTCTTCAGGTTTACACTGGATATGGGATGTGTGGTTGGAGCTATGGGTGGTGCAGCGCAGGCCACCCATGGTCTTCTGTAGGCGCAGGCGTCCTGTGGCTGGCCACAGTGACAAGCAAATCCGAACCCGGATGCCGCCAACTGTATATATATATATATATATATATATATATATATATATATATTTGCGCATTTCTGGAGATTCAGAGGCCGCTGCTTCTAGCCAAGCTGGTTTCGGGGTTGCACTGAGTGACAGGGCTGACGTCGCTTTGCTTGACTAGATCCCAGTCAAGCGTTGACTACATGAAGTCAAACTACGAGCTGCATGTAAGTTAAGTAAGGATCGAGATGTTACGTGTGCCTTGTTTGTCATCTTCGCCTATGCTCCTCCAGACTGCAGCCCGGATGCAGTCAACGAATGCTTTTACCAACAGCTACATGACATGCGTTCCTCCGAAACGTGACATCATCATTCTCGCCAGAGACAGTAACGCACGAGTTGGCCGCCTGCGGCCAAGTGATGGGTAGTTTCGGCCTCGGTAGCAGTCGATGACACAATGGAGGCAGGCTACTGACTCTTTGTTCTGATCATCCCTTGTTTCCTTCGAGCACTAGTTTTCGGCATTCGGAGAAAACAGGTTGCTACATGGTGTTCGCCTTCTCGAATGCCATAGGGATCCAAGCTTGACCATATAGCAATAAGCTACAGATGGCGCGGAAGCGTAACAGATTGCCAATCGTACTGATCGACTTGTCTGGATTCCGATCACGCAATGGTTTGCGCCAAGATTTGCATGCGTTTCGGAGGATCACCCAGACGTACGTACTACCGACCAAACGTCGAAAACCTGCAACATCCTGCGAGCTTACCCAAGTACCAGGTTTCTCTGTCAACACTGCTTCCTTCCTCCACTGACGATGATCTGAATTCGCAATGGATGCGAATCAAATACGCCTTAATTTCTGCCAGTACTGTCAATTGGGGAGTTGCTCGTCACCCACCGAAAAGATGGATCACCACTACCTCTTTGTCGTTTATACCCAGACGCCACTTGATCCCGGCTGACACCGGGTGTAGTGTGGAACTCCGATCCCTGGATAGAGCGCTGCGTAGGAGCCCACAGAACGACCGTGAGACCTGGTGGTGTGAACATGCCATAGAGCTTGAACTTGCTAATCTCTCTGGTAATACCAGAGAACTGTTCCACCTCTCCCGAGTCACCGAACGATGCCGATAAGCAGTATGCGAAACAAGCTGCGAATATAATTGTTCCGTATTCACTAATCTTCAACGACGATTGGAAAGACGGGCCGAACATTTTCGGTCGCAGTTTTCCTGGTCGCCAGCTCTATCTGTTTCCCCAGAGGCGCGCAATAGTGATGAGTGGACTATCCCAACTGATCCTCCCTCTCACCAGGAAATCTGCTGCCTAAAGCGTTATAAGGCACTCGGCCCTGATGGTCTACCTCCTGCTCTATTTAAAGATGGAGGTTATTCGCTGGTTCGAGAACTCAGCCCTTTCTCCCCAGAAGTCTGGACAAAAGAGGAGCTTCCATCATCCTGGAGTGAGTCGATAGTCGTCCCCATCTTCAAAAATGACATGCGACAAAGTGCTCCAACTACAGGGGCATACGTTTGGTTCCCGTCGTTCACAAGATCATGGTATCCATCATTCTTCGCAGGCTATTCCAAACGTGTGAATCACTATAGCGAGAAGAACAGGATGGGTTTCGTTTAGGTGAAAGCTGCATCGATCAACTTTTCACACTGCGCCAGATACGCAAGCTCCGCCATGTGTATCAAAAGCCAACGATTGTTGTGTCAGTAGATATACGTGTACCTTTGATTCTGTCGAAGGGCTGCATTGTGGCACTGTCTGTTGAGGAATGGTATTCCCGGGAAGTTCGTTTGCACTCTGCGTGCTCTGTATAATCTGACATCGGGTAGAGTTAGGGCTTACGGCAAGCTGTCGCCTTCCTTTGTTGTTACCAGTGGGGTTAGACAAAGATGTCCTCATCAAAAAAGACTTGTTGGATACTGGCGTTGAGCTCGTTCCAGATAGTCGGTTGGTTGATTTGGATTACGCTGAGGATTTCGCCTTGTGGGGTGATGGTCCGCAGGCCGTCCAACTTGCACAGTTGAAGCACTTTTCCCCATCCAAGTGCAAGGCGCTTTTTCAAAACTGATATACGCCCCTACCTGCACTCACCATGGATGGGGAAACGTTAGAAGTGGTACAGAGTTTTGCCTACATGGGAAACTGCATCACTGCTGGTGGGGCTGTTAGAGGTGAGATTTCGATGCGCATCTCAAGAGCACGTCTCGCATTCTCCAGGCTGAGGTGTTTGTGGCGTCGTCATGACATCCGTCACTCCATCAAAGCACGGGTTCACAGTGCGACCGTCCGCGCTGTACTGTCGCGAGACTTGACCTGTTCGTACCGAGGACCTGCGCCTACTATCTGTCTTCGAGCACCGTTCGCTGCGCTCCATTGTCCAGGTGTGGTGGCTGAAGCACGTAACCAACATTCAAGTCTGACAGCGTGTCTTGGGTGGAAACAGCCATTCCCTCGAGGCGCATGTTTCGCTGCGCCAATTACGATGGCTTGGACACGTACTGCGCATGCTCGTTCAGTGTGTTCCGCTTCTTGCCCAGTTCGCGGTCGATGGACAGAGCTGGATGAGGTAGTGTGGTGGACAGCCTAGAGATTAGAGAAGCAGGATGAAAAAACTAACAAAACTGCTGGCCTCGGTTGGTTCTTCTCGACTATTTGGATGGGGTCCCAAAGATTTTGAGTGCTGCTGGGTGGAAACCTTGGAAGTCATGACTCAAAACCGAACTCAGTGGCGGTCATGTATCTCTGTTTGCTGCGCTGATTCACCTTCCCTCCCCCAATAAAAAACATCCCAAATAAACCTCGAAAACTGTGAGTGGAAAAATGGACAAAAATTGTTTTCATTTTTCTTTAGTCATGTTTTATTATTCCGCCGTGGTTCCGATAGCACAATATCTGTACACAGATTGTGATATATAGGTTATGTACGGAAGACAGGCTTTCCGAAGAACTAAGTTTTATCACAACCGTATTCCAACGAAATGGGTACCCAGATAACTTCATCCGACAGCATTTATATATATATATATATATATATATATATATATATATATATATATATATATATATATATATATATATATATATAATGTCATTACATCTCCTTAGGTCCAGTTAGCAGGCATGGAACTTACGACCATTGTGATGTTAGTTGTGGCCGCTACTCATAAGCCACCGGGTCACGACGGGCAATGCTTGGCACAACGGTTTAATGAAGGATGTTAAGGGTCATTCTGAAGTACACGTTGTGTGGATGGATTGCGACGCGTAATCTCAATGTTGACTGCCATTCCCATTGTAGTGAACCTTGGTGTATGGAGCACGGGAACCGTAGCCGATTCAAATGGAATTGAGTGTTGGCCGCCAGAAAAGACTGCACTATTTTCACGGGTTTCGATGTTATTGCATGTCATCAACCGGAGTTAGCAGGCTTGGAACCCGGGACCATTGAGATGTTAGTTGTGATCGCTACCCCAGAGCTACCGGGTCATGACGGCCAACGCTTGGCACAACGGTTAAATGAACGATGTTGTGGGTTATTTTGAGGTACACGTGTGTATGGATTGCGACGTGCAATCTCAATGTTTACCGCGACTCCCATTGAAGTGAACTACGATCTTTCGATCACGAAGACCGTAGCTGATGCAAATAGAAATTGGGTGTTTGCCGCCCGTAACTACTGTAATACTTTGACGCGTTTCGCTCTTATTACATCCCATCAGATCGAGTTAGCAGCCATGGAACTTGGGCGATTGGGATGTTAGTTGTGACCGCTACCATTTAGCTACTGTGCCCCATGCTGAGGCTGATGTTGCATTCATGATGCTTCTTCACCGCATTTGGGCTAAACCTACTTACACTTAAACTACGTCTTTTTAATGTGGATAAAATTCGTTACATTTTATTTGGTTTGTTCTGCGTATTTGATAATCTTCTCCCAACTTGCACACGTCGCTCATGCAAATTGTGGTAAACTTGCGCAATTTTATCGCGTGGTATTTTTTAACTAACTTTCGGACATTTCGTACTTATCACGGATTCACTTATAACCAATTTCTTCTATATGCTCATTTAGCGAGTATTTATGTCGTCATATGCGTTTACTTTAATCGATATCGGCATTTCGAATGATTGGCTGTTGTTTGACATCCCAAGTGTGGCTGCGCTTGATGTGCATGTTGACAAGGTGCCTACCTGTCTATTACCCACTACCTCGTCCATACTGGCTCCAGGAGACAGTTGGTCGTTGCTGGAGGGGACGGGGTGCACGGTCCTTGTGGTCGTGCTAGGCTCCAAGAGTGGTTCCATGAAGTCAGTGTGGAGCAGACTACGGTCCAGCCACCGCATTGTGTGCGCCTGATTCCCCAAATACAGCGTGCTTGTGTTTGCCTGTGAAGGAGTGTGGGCCGACTCCGTTGATGAACCGTGGCTCCCATCCACACGCCTCCCGGTCTTATTCCTTCGGGTTTACACTGGATATGGGGTGTGTGGTTGGAGCTGTGGCTGGTGCAGCGTAAGCCACCCGTGGTCCCTCTGTAGGCGCAGGCGTCCTGTGGCTGGCCACAGTGACAGGCAAATCCGAAACCGGATGCCGCCATCCATATATATATATATATATATATATATATATATATATATATATATATATATATATATATATATGTGTTTGTGCACACTAACCGAGATGATTGGTCCGATAGTAAGAAAAAGTAACAAAATTTAAAGTTGCTTAGCTTGATGAAGTAATAAACATCCGAAGTAGTCATACATTCATCACTGTTTGTACGGTGTTTTAGTTCAGTTCAACTGCTCACTGACATCGAGGTGAAGATGATAAATCTAATACAGGAAATCCGAAAGTTACCAGAAGACCATGTGAAACAGGCACTGAGAGCCCAAGAGAAAGTGCATCGAATGGAAGTGAAGGAGGAACGGAAACGGGAACAACGCCAGCATCAGGAAGAACGAATCCGTAAGGCTGTGGAACGAGCCAAAGCTGAACCCAAGAAAAGAGTAAGTTCGGTGACCGACTATCGATGGGTTGTACATAGTTTATTGCACACAAAGGTAGGCGACAACATAATGGGCGAAAAGAGGGCTATCCGATCACAACCGGTTGCTTTTAATGGTCATAAATCCGTCCTACTAACAGTATCCAAAAGTGGAACGGTTCTAATAGAGACATATAACGAAATTGGTCACCTCACTGGTGGCACATACCAAGTAGTGGCCAAGATGAGACCCGAAAAGGCATAGAGAAACCTATTCACGAAATCCAACTGTACTAGGGATCAGTATTTAGGTTTTCCAACGGACATACACGCTCGTCAATGGTCGGAAGTATTACATTGCCTTGAATAAGGATGCACACCTAGATGCTTCCAATCGCTGACACTTGCCTAAGATTGAGCCATCATGCCCTCACTACAACAGCGTAGCCTAGAGACCATGATCGCTGACAAATGCTGGAAAGTTTTGCATCTTCAGGGCAGTCACCCGGTTTTCATGCCACGCAAACTTACAGCTACAGCTGGGACACAATCAACAGGAGAAACTAACCGGAGAAACAAGATTTGTGGAGCCTTAGTAAACTGGACAGTCAACAATATTCGTGCGCTAAAGACGGATCGCAACGGGAAGGGTTAGAGTGTCAGTTCAAGTCCAGTGTCGAATTATCCCTTTAAAGTGAATAACTGATAGGTGGTGGGGTATCTAACAGTACCGCAGTACTGTTAAAGTTAACCAAACGCATCTGTTTCCTCATGAAGTCTTCGGCAGTGAGCGGTTCCTAAAACCATCATTCTAGCCAGAGGCAGTGTGCAGTCAGTGGTAACCGATTAGACACTTGGGTTAAACAAATATAAAAGAACATTTAGGGTACAATCGTAACGAACTGGTGGCCGGCCAGTGATCACTTTTCCAAAGAAATGAAGATATAAATCCTATAACAGACATCTGCCGACACCAACAGAAGTGAGTTCTCACAATGTCCAATTACAACCCGTTTCGTAAACCAAAGAGGTAAATTGCGTCGAAGGATCTGTATTACGTAATCCGTTCCATTTCAGACCGGAAGACCAGTGATGACACGTTCTGAGCCTCCGAGGACAGAGAGCAAGGATACCAAGGATCCCGGTGCTTTATCAGAACAGGAAGAAGAATTAGAATTCCTCTTTGGATAAAGATGTCAGCTGAATCTAGGAATAAATTGCACAACTCGGCGTAACGCCCACTGGATCGAGAATGTAGCACCTGTTACCAATAGACACTGTGTGAGCCAGAATGGTGGACGAGATTCCGTGACACAATGCTTGCGCCCACATGGACTCAAGTGAATCGTCAGAGCATGGCATCGAATAATGAAATGGGCGTATTCCATTGGTTGTCAAACTTTTTTTAAAATCTACAGAGTACTTTGGTACATGAACAGGTAACTCACAGGGGCAATCATGTAATCAGAATAGAAAGTACAAATTCGTTCGCATCGATACGGTTATCACATTGCTATCATGGGATGAAATGAAGAGTCTTGGGGCGCGAAGGCCAAGTGCATATGGTGAAAGATTTTACCACACTTGTTTGTGGTTGTATTCATGTAGACAACAAAAATGACACGATAATGCTGTCGCGGATCTTCGGACTAACCAAACTCCCTCATCAAAAAAGTGAAGATCTCGCCAACAGGCCTCATCGCGATTAGGGAGAGATACAACGCCTATGGCAGTAATGGTCCCATCTAGATAACTAAACAAATCATCAGCAGAATAGGACCCTCGATATCAGGAATAGCTTGAGCTTGGGATTCGCTCTCACTGGTTGACCTGACGACCACGTGATTTCGCATTAGTTCGATCTTGGATACTCGGCTTCCAGCGCTGTTAAATCGAGGTTGCAAGTACGAAATGAGCCCGAACGATCCTCATTAACTCATCTAATTTTCTCCTGGCAAATGGTTGGAGCAAGCGAAATGCAAACACAGGCTCGAAACGAGATAGGATAAACACAAACTAGATAAAAAAATTAAGGTTAGTAAATTAAAATTTAGAGAGATTTATGCATCACTCTTTTCGAACTAGAGTTAAACGGAACCAGGATAAGCAGATGCGAAATGGAGTGGCAACGGTAACTCCACAATAACAGTAAAACAGTGGGTTCCCTTCAACCATTTCATCAAGGCACAGAGAAGACACAGCGGTTGCGATTTGTCAACATTTCGATTATTCTCTGAAGTCGCAAATACAATACGAGCAGAAACACATAAACAATTATATACATGGAAAAATAAGCAACACCAATCAAAATGTCACAGCGAGACTTTAATTTCTAATGAGTATCCTGAGAAGTTTATTCAAGTACACAGCAGACCTCCCAGCGTGAAAACACCGGTGCTGACGGCTGAGAAAAATGATGTTTATTTGTTCTTGCAGTTCAAGGGTGACCATGTGGCAAATGATATAGGATGCAAGCTCCGGTTCGCCCTAACGAGCACCTATACGACAGCCCAGTTGCGACTCAGTCATACCACGCGAGGACTTGTTCTTCAAAACCGTCAGAGCATATCGTCGGGTAGTTCGGCATCAAACGTTGTTTATCAGTTCACCTGCGGTTGTGGTGACATTTACCTAGGCAGAACAAACCGTCAGTTAGCTCAAAGGATAGGTGAACATTTGCCAAGGTGGCTGGAACAAGTGATGACGCAATAAAATGGGACGGATCTGAGAATTAATAGGAACTCGGCATCGTCTATCACCAAGCCCCTCACGTGAACACTGAGACAGTGTTCAAAGTGTTATTACGCAACAAAAACCCGATAATGTTGGCAATTAGTGAGGCGTTGCTAATTAAAGCCCATCAGCCGGTGCTATGGGCACAGTAACGATTGATTAGTGTAACTTAGCCGATCAAAAGCGTGCCTTCAGGATAATTTACAGGGTCCCCCAGCATCAACCAAGAGGTTTGCGCCTCCGTGCGCTCGCGACAGCTGAATCGATTTGTATTCGGTTGTTTCAACCTTCATTATGCTCGCAAAAGAAGTTGCTTCATGCCTTACAGCTTCCCTGGCCAGCTAGAACGAACGATGCTGAGGTCGATTGCCACAGATCAAGCTCGATAACATGCAATCGACCTGTCAGGTCAAAGATCAACTTTTAGCCTTCCTCACTGATCCGCTAATTAACTATGTAATTTGAGCCAATGAGTCGATTTCAGTTCGTTATTTTACCCTTAAATATGATTGTAATGGTCTGAAGAGAATCAACGAAAACAATTGTTCACCTATGGTCTTGTGTACTTTTAACTTATTTTTCCATGTATATAATTGTTCGTGTGTTTCTGCTCTGATTGTGTTTGCGACTGAAGAGAACAAGGGAAATGCTAACATATCGCAACCTGTCTTCTCTCTGCCTTGACGAAACTCCACAATAATCGCCGGAGGAATGTGCTGACAGCATAGTTGGCGACATTCAATCCCGGATTTGCCTGTCACTGCGGCCTCCATAAGACAGCCACTGATCAAAGTCGTGAGTTCATAGGTTTAGGAACGATCCGTTAGTGTACTCTTTGGGCAACGTTTTGCTTTTGAAACAAAAGATTCGTCAGACGATCATCGCCATGTCCGCTATCAAATGTCGCTCCAATTACACACCGAATACTCAGCTTGTAGAAGCGAAACGTTGTCCAACAAATACAACAACCGATTGTTCTTTCAGAATTCACAGTAACAAAGAACTCCACACATGAAGCAAATCAACTCAGTGATCAGGCTGACATACCCCGATGAGACTGGTTGAACCTCGCTAGAATTGTATCATGGAAACGTGTCCCGCAAAAAGCGCTGTCTAATGCAAACAGGACCCTTACCATTTGTTTATGTTTCAAAGAAACACAAACGGCACACGTAGCGCAGGGGTAGCGTTGAAAAATATAGACGGAGTAGTGAGGATGAATACGGATCAGTCTGAAGAAATAAGCAAGAATCGAGAACTGAATCGCGGTGGACCATTATTCTGAATCACACTACCAGGGTAAGAAAACCCAAGGTGAAAGAGAAAGACAATCCTGTGTTTAGAAACAACTGATCGTGTTGTAGGATAAATTACAGTGGGAGTCACCTGCTGATAAAGCAGCACCGGTGGCTTGATGCCAGCAGACAAATCCGTAAATTTCAAAGATTGCTCCGTGCGGCGACGGACCGAACGCTACCATACAGAAAGAACCAATGACTAATGTTGATTAGTGTTTCCACCGGAAATGAGCAGCGATTTCACATGAATGCAGCTGGTAGAAAACGATCAGCTTCTTACTACCATGGCTTTGCACCACACAATGACGCCGGACTCACTGTAGTATCGTACGCCTTAGTAATAATAAATTGTTAGCACACCATTACTGTTTCTGACGTAGCCGATACATACAATGACTTCATTGGATATATACCTTCGCGTGACGGGTAAACTTGAGAATTGATAGCATTCCGATTTAGCACAATCGGCTATGAGAGTGCGAGGCGAGTGCATCTCTTTGGGTAAGTCTGCTCACATAAGACGCTGGACCTAATAACAAGATAGACAAATCGCACGAAAGGTCAGTCGTCTGACAGATGAATGTGCGATTCGACTGTTACGCATTACCAAATCAAGCACTGAGCATCTGAAAACAATAGTCACCTACTAATTAGCAGTACGCTACATAAGACTGCGGTACGAAGAGGAAAAAATTCAGACAGTAACTTCAAACTCTCCTCCGTGTGCACTGACATATATAATCGATTTGGGTGACATGAATGATCAAGTAAACCGAATCAGAGACAGTTTCTGGATGGCCGGTCATCGTGTCGACAATGATGACTAGGAATATTGGTAGCTCGTGAGGCTTGCTCAGTTGTTGTGGAGTTCTCCGAGCTGGGAAACTTGATTGCAAACTTTTCATCACCATTCGAGGTGGGTTTGCTTTCTACCAGCTACTGCTACTTAACTGCTATCAATCCCGCACTGAAGATGCCACCTCGAATGGTGGCGAAACGTTTGCAGTCAAGTTGTCCAGCTCGGAGAACTCCACAACAACTGAGTGATGACTAGTTTAACATGTGTGCACCGATCACGATACTAGTCGGGAGGGGTTTGTGGACAGAGTATAATCTCCGTTGCCTCTCAGGGGAACAGAGGTTGTCCGACTGTTTGCACATCGCGAGTTGGACCGGATACTCAGACCAAATGGACAGTAAAAAGTAGGTTCGACTCGGGAGTGCGACAGCAGGATCGCAATGCGATGTGCCCGAGGCCTACCGCACACAGCCTTAGAAAAGTTAGCGTGTACTCCGACCGCAATAAATGACGACCACGATCAATCACGGGTGCGTTCGGTGAGTTTATGCTCAAGCGGTAAGCAGCCGTGTGAACTGACGTGGGTGGGGCAGTCCATTGAATGTCAGTTATGCTAGACCATAATCAGAGGCAACTTGCATAGAGCGTAGACCAGATCAATCGAAATCATATCTGGTCAACTAACGCTCTTAGTTGTAGATAGTATAATGATCACTAACCAAGCACCTGCGTGTTGGACGTGGTTAGTAGGGGTAATCCTAAAGAGATTTTGGAAATGTTGCTTGGCGCAACTCTGTGGCCGCAGAACCATTGCACGCTTCAAGGTCTAACCCTACCGCAGTAGAACAGACGGAGCAAGCACTCCTGCTGCCACAAACAGGGCAGTTCCGATGAAGGGCTAAGCGATCGACTAGTATTCATACGAGTGACACAGTAGGCCCTAATTAGGCAAAAGTGAAACCACGTGTAGCTGAGAACAGACACAGTCAGTAGGACCTTACTGCTGGGCAGTAGGCCATTCAAATGCATGGCACGCCTCGCTAAGGAGACATAATCTTCGAATAACAAGCTCACCGCTCTACCTCACTTATGCACCACGGTTACGTGGGGCGGAGTGTACATGGTTTTGTGCCTGGGCATTTGCGACTGACAAGCACAGCATAGGAGCATTACCCTGATCGTGTACACTGTGTTTGGTGACACAATAAAGGGGTCCCCAGAAGTATTTTTGACTATGTATTAGGATTTTGAAGCACCCAAGTGCGTTTGGATTGTGACACGCAATTTCAACTGGTCGCGTGGCCTACAATGAGGTAAAATTAGGCCACTACGATCAGTGGGACCATATTTCAAGTGGTGTTTCGGAGTTGTCCTCCTGCTACACTGCTGGATACTCAGTAATCGCCCAAGCAACTTACATGCTACATCGATTAGTGGCGATTTGCAAAGGTAGTCGTAGCTCTAGGGGCCAGCCCTGTCCTCTGCACGTGCATAACATGCATGACAGTGGAGGATGAATCGCGCTATACAGTAATTAGTAACCAGCCATGCAGTCCGCCGCCACCACCCAGTGGCTCGAACCGCCGGCTAGTGAGAATGAACTCATGGGTATGAAAGCAGCTGGATCCGGTGGTTGCATGCTGCTGGCGTGTTCTAACAGAATGAACCAACTGTCTGTTGCTTCCATGCATGAAGAGCACGAAGGCCACCACTTCGACCTAGAGAATGTATAGACGCTAACCCGTGGAAATGCGAGGCTAGCTAGAGAATTCTTGGAAGCACTGTATTCGACAGGAAATTCAGTCAACGGACGGGTTGAAATAGATGCTATATATGCAACAGTGCGAATGGAAGATCACCGACTTAGTCAACTAAATCTAACGGAACAGAACGTCGCGCAAATACGTCAAACGAAGTCGACCAAAGAGGCACGCGTGCTTACGTTACGAAGCACGAATCAAAGAGATCAATTTCGATGGTCAGGTGCCTTTCGAACGATCCAAACTCAGATTGACGGCTCGTCGGCCTAGAAGATCGATCACTCACACTCACCGATGCTTCGTACCGCGCCGCTCCGCTATATACACGCGCAGTGACGATGTCACCTTGAGTAGCGACGAAAAGTTTACAATCAAAATGCGGAGCTCAGCGAACACTCGGACCAAGAAACCATCTGCTGCTTCTTCGAATGAATGATGACTGTCTGACAATGTGGCTGAGGGCAACATGAGTTTGCTCATATAAGTGAGGTAACTGGCACCGGAAACCGCACAGATGGCCTATGCCAGATCTGACGGAAAGTCCGGTTCCCTATTCACATGACTACTGGTCAGAAAACATAACGTTGGGCCATTGGTAGAAGAACCCGAAGTACTATTAGACACAACAGCTGATGGCAATGGAGCTCAAAATGGATGTGGCGAAAAGAGCAAACTACGTGAGTAGATCAGATGAAGACGAAATGACAGCAGAACACACAGGTTACAAAGAGAAAGACACTCGGTGAGAGGAGAGGGAGGAAGCGATGACGGGAAAAAGAATCATTGGATAATTCAAATCACGACTCGGTGGTCATGCGCAACAGTTCGCTGGTAACGGCATCACGATCCGCATCCATTGACTGTAACAAATCACGAATGGTGTCTTCACCGATTGCAGGGAAAACCTCTTTCACGGCTTGCACGTCCTCCGCGGTAATGGGTCTAGCCGGACTTGCAGGTGGGGCCGGAGGAACTGCATCAGTAGGAACATTGGTTGATCTAGCCTGGGGAGCTGGTTGTACAAAAAAGAGAGAATACAGTGAGCACCCCATGTAATGCCTCAGTTGAGAATTGAATATTGCGTTGTTCAGGAATATTATTGATATGCGCACAAAATTCGGCAGGATTAGGTAACCAAGTGCGGTGAAGATGTTCGTCCCTAAATTAGGGAAAGGTAGACGCACTCACCTAGCCAGCAAAATTCACATCGAAGTTATCTTTCAGAGACACCGTGCACTAACTGCTGAGAACAATTACCATGCAAACGATTGATTGTGACAATAGAAAAGCCATCAAGCAAAATGTCAACATAACACGCGGGGCTATAAATCTCCAATCTCGGTGGTTGATTTATCACACCCGACAAGAAGATCACGCAGCGGATGGATAGCCGAGGGAACAAAAACGATTTTTGGCCTAGCTTCAATAGGGGTGGCAGATATCAGCAAGTAGTATATAGGCACATGCACTGAGTGTTAAATATGTATGGTAATCGTGGGCTTGTACCGATCGGTGACTCGAATACAAACAAAACCGTTTCCCCTTCCTTACGAAAGTAAGCAGACAATGTGAAAAGGAGGGTAATCTGTGGTAAAGGCTCACCGGATGGAGCTGAGGACGGCAAGGCGTAATTTGGGACCAATTGAACAGCAACCTGAAGATGGAAATACACAGATTATCAAAACCCAGACACAGAGACTGGTTGAGTGAACAAGAAATGTTGAAGTAGAGGAGTTTCGATGAGAAACTTACCCGCACGCGCATAGTGAGATGAATAGCGCCCTCCATGTCTTGGCCTTGTTTTCCACTCAGTTCATACCACATATCCGTAGTTGCACCTTCGAAGAGGGACTGAGGCAGCGGAATGGTCGTCCAAGCTAATTTCGAATCTCCCAGTAACAAACCTTCGTTCATCACCACGACAGACAAGTGAGTGATGCCACCTCGAATTGGACTGAAAAAGTAATAATGCAGTTTAGCAAGCGTGACAACAGAAATCAAAAGGATGAAACAGCCGTACAGTGCCTTACAGGAGGTGGAATGGCTATCTGACTGAGTATATACGTGGTGAATTTCCACTTATACCAAAGCCAACAAATAAGAAACAAATACTAAATGGCTGCACTTACGGGGAAAGTGACATGGAGTTAGGGATATGGGAAAAGTTAATTGCCAATGCTGTATTAAAACAAACATTTGGGAAAAGATGCAATAAAATAGAAGTACAAATCGGGTGCCTGAATCTCCCTGCCACTTCCGGATAGTGTGGGGTTACAATAGGATAAGCATTGATCTAGTTGCGGCAAAACAATTCACAGACTAGTAAACGGAGCAGCCTTGGTTCGCCACGCCTTCCATATTAAGGCTCACTTGCTCCATCACCAGTATGACTTGAGACAATGCATGAGGCGGCAGGCAATAGCAACCAGTGCCGAAGTTGCCATCGTTGTCGCTGCCCGGTCGGAGCACCTAGCTAACGTATGTCTGATGCCAGATAAAAACATAATCAAAAATGAAGTATTTTTTTAGTTTATTTTTATCTGGCACCACGGTGGCAATTGCGAAACTGGTGCATGGTGCCAGGTCATCTGCGGATTAATAATGTCGAGTATGATGTAAAGATATGAACGACTTGTCGGAACAATTGTGGAAGAAAACTCTGTGCAGCAGTTCAAACTATTCCGAGAACGATTACCCACAGAAATCTCACATTTGTGAGCCTCGATGTACTACGAGTCAAAGGTATTTTTAACAATATCACGTGGAAACGTGAAAAGTTCTTAATGTTGACAGGTCATAGATAGCTTTGGCTTTTTAAATGTTTTTGATAAGATTGCGAGAGAGTTGCACATATTTAAATTGCAACTTGCCCCCACAGTTTTCAGAAAGCTGTCAAGAACATGGCCCTGTTTCCACACAGTACAGACCTGTTTGTGATTGTATTTAACAATTATCACGGATAGAAAAACAGGTGCTTGACAAGTCTCGTAAGATGGTTGGGGGTTGAGTTTGAAAAGAAAGCGAAAGCTATGTGAGTCAACTGTTTAAACGTTTACGGCAAAACCACAGTGTGTCATGGGAATTGCAAGTGCACACACATAAAACAATATGGGAAACAGCTATAGTTGATGTATTCTATCAGACATGTAAAAATAAATACGTTCACGCATGTACCACACTTCCTTGAGTTCATGGGATACATAAGCCCGATTTGAGTACGTGAAAAATAGATTCCACAGTGGTAGCGTTTAGGAAGTGGAACTGAGCACATTTATTGGTTGTGTTACGTTGACACATAGTCGGAAAAGGTTATTTTGCGTAGTGTAAACGCACAAATGCATCACTAAGATGCCTTTTGAATACTGACGGTATGTGGGGGGGGGGGGACAAACAACCTAAATGAAGAGGGCGTTCCAAGTTTGGCACAAACGAAGTGTAGAGAAAGTTGGACTTGGAGAATCCGCTGGTGGTTGGGTTGCTACAAGCAACCTTTATTGTGAAGAGAAATGCTGGTGGCATTCCAACGCGCTATGCTATATGACCAGGTTTAGCTAGTGCTCTCTCAAAGTGCTATTGTGATTCAATTTCAGGTGATGACAAGCATGGTTGGGATTCCTCAGGATGTGACATGTCCTTATGAAGTTGCCACGCAAACGCCAATATTGTTCGCTGTAGACCCCAAAGGTTTTCAGCCTCAGTTGGTAAGGTAGATGAAACAGACCCCGTATGTGCTTGATCGCTCTTTGTAGTGGTAGTACAAGTGCGATAAGGTCGTTCATGGGCCAGAGCAGCCAGGCGTGGATGGTATATTCCGAATGGTCCCAAAATTAGACTTTGATCATCTGAGGGAAGATGGAAGGGTCAGATCGCCCGAATACCATCCGAAATAGACCAAGGTGTTGGCTAGCCTCTAGAATACTTACTCAGTCTGAGGTGAACAACCAAGATAGTCTTGTACCACCACTCCTAGGTCACATTCAGTAGAAGTGTGTCACGAAACTTGATCCCCCAGTCTGTAAACGGAGGCGAATGGACGGCGCATGTTCAACGTCTTACACTTCGTGCGCTTGAAAGAAAGATTCTGAGTCATCCACACGTATCCCCTGTCCAGATCATCCTGCAATGGTCACCTGTCGGTTTAATGGTCCCCTATATCTCTAACTCATCAGCAAAGAGTACGAAATTTGAGGCGGCTGCACTGGTGAGATTGTTTATGTATCTCAAGAATGGGCGTGGACCAAGTACCGAACCCTGTGACAATCCGCAACGAATTCCGCTGGGGTCAGAGATGGCGCTGCGAGCTTTCACATTCAGATGTTGTTGATGAAGGAAGTAACCTATCCAAGCTAGGGCCGAATCACCAATTGCACAACTCTGAAACTTGTGAAGGAAGATGCAGTAGTTTAGATGGTTGAAGGCCTATCAGAACTCCAGGTAAACTGCGTCAACCCCAACACCGCTGTCAACGGTTCCAGCGAGCAAGTTTGTGGTGCAAAATCGGTTCTAGCGGAATCCATGGTGTGCTGGTGCGATAACATTGCACCATACAAAATAAGCCATGAGCGCTTCGGCCATAATGGCCTCCATAACTTGGGGAAGAAACTGCTTTTCCGCGAAATTTGGCCGTAGCTGCAAAACCCACCCTTGTAAATGAGAGTGGCAATTCCATGATTTCGCATTGTTGGAATCCGCATCTCACCGAGACATTATTGGAAACACTGAAAGAATGGATCCGCCAAATTCGGCGCCTTTAGTTGGGCATTCGCAGAATTGTCGAGGCCTCGGCGATTCGCCGAATGAGACCGGCCCTATGTGTGCAAAAACGAATGGGTTAAGCTTTGGCTGCCGTGGTCTCAGAGTTATAGCCGCCGTTCACCCTGATGCACGTGACTGGTCAGGGACATACTTTGACCGTTATTTTGATTAGTCTGATGACACACTGCATTTTCCTTTCAAAGGCGACAGTGCAGCTGATGCTCTGTCCAAACGCCTGAAAGACGCTGTTGAAAAGACTTATTTCGCGGCTTGCCTACGCATAGTATTTCAAACTTTTATTCGCAAAATCTCCGGTGACTCGATCAATGCATGCTTATCTTTACTCGTGCTCCTGTGGCGTACGATACGTGAGTCGTACTATGAGGCGCCCATCACACAGGAAACACGAACACATCCCGAGGTGGTATTACAAAGGCGAAGCGAGGTCTAGTAACAGCTCCATCCTGTCTCACCTTCTAGAGTGCGGTCACGAAGGGAGGGAAAATGAATTCAAAGTCCTCAATACTATCTCTTAAGGTTTTTCGCGCGGATTCCGGAAGCATCTCCTGTCTACTGCGGAAGCTATCTATATCCGCCATCTTAAGCCAGGATTTTAAATACAAAAACAGTTTGCACGTCTTTTACTTCTACTGTGGCCTATAACTGCTGCTGTGATTTCCCCTGTACATACTTTGCCACCTTTAATGACCCCTAGATTTATTTATTTGTTCCCGATGGAAGAAAACATCCTGATCAATACGCAGCCCAATCCGGCACATTTAGCACGTTTTCATTATCATGCAATGTTTGAGTCTGATGGGAATTACCGAAAAGTATTCTTTACTCAGATTCTGTCTCCCTTGATTCATTCTAATAAATTTTGATTATTCCCTGTTCCCAGTATGGTACTGAGGAGATGATACGAAATGCGCGCATCTAACATTGTTTATCTTCTTTTCGTGTTATGCAAATTATTATAGGGAACTAAGTGTTTGAACGATGGAAGTTTGTGGAGAATTACTGACGTTGGACGTTTCTTTTACAGCTTATGCTTGTCCACATGGCTTTTGTACGACAGGAATCCCCCCGTTTATTTACGGAGTTCGTTAATGTGCATGTAAAGGAGTTTGGAATGTGGGCAGCATTTATCGGCTAGATCCAGCCGACATTTTCGCTCATCCTCGCGTACCAGATTCGCGTGATGATTCCGCTGGGCAATGCACGCCACTCATGTTTCCGCACCCGGTGACTCCTTGCATTTTCACCAGAGTGTATCTCTAATGACCACACAATTCCGCGTCCCGTTCCGTATGATTGGCTTCACGCACAACGAGCGTGGAGGGGGGAGCTATTGCTCAAAGCACTCATTAATAGCTTGTTGAATTGACTGACGAAATCACAACAAGTGACGTCGGATAATAGTTACGTTAGAAATGATCAGTTGGTTGTGCTAATGAGTGCGGTCAAAATGTCGCAATTTGTAATAAGCTGAAAACCGTCAGCGTTCTCTGCGGAATGCTCTGTATAACATGTAGTTGAACGGCAGTGTTGCGTGACTGCTGCGGCACGATGGGCTTATCTATCGATAACGTTACGACCATAAGAACATCGTTGGTAAACACAAAATCCATGATACTTGGTTTTTTCCCTGTTCTGCATCTGGTGGGCGAAGTAACGAAGTCGTAGAGTGTGAATCCAATGATTAACTCCTGTAATTCCATTTTGAAGTTACCATCGAGACAGGTTGGGATTTCCATGGCGCAAAAATTAAAGTCGGCATCCAAGAGAACGTCACCGTAAGAGAACACTCTTCAGAATGTAGGCTAGGCGAGTGTCCATTGCTGAAGCAAACGGAGAGCGGTACATGAAGCCCACCAAACATGTGCCGCCACGTCTTAAGTGAAGACGGCACCAAAGCGCGTCGACCAGCTGGATGTCTGAGTCGTCAATGAGATCAAGGTGCAACGCACTGTGTTAGTAGAATAGACACTTCAGGTACTACGATCTCGGCGTGAGTGATCATTTAACCAACCATGATTCCGTTATCAAATAATGAGGTCTCACGACATCTAGGCTTGACTCATCCGTAGCTTCATCAGATGCTGAAAAGGCCGTGTGCTAGCATAAAAAGAAGAGAGGGTTTGCTAAGTTTGGTGGCAGGTGCAGACAACGGGTGTGAAACGTGGCCGACACCCGTGA